GTCGCCTGGCGTCGAAAATACCTACGCGAAATGATTGAATATAGGCGACAAAGGAGAAAAATCTATTATGGGTAAATGCAGGTCACACAGTTAAAAAAACCTAGATAGACAAAAACGTAGTGAGTAACCGACAAGCAAGCATTGAAGGTTTGTGAACAGGTCTTCGTGGACCGTCAGGGAAAGGTCAAAGATTGGTCGTAACTCATATTGGTAGCGATAGTGGCTTTTTAGAAGAGTGTGACTTGATTTTCGTCTCTAAGAAAGGAGGTGATTACCATGACGAAATGAATGCCAGCTGCTTCGAGAGCTGGTTTCAAGGGGTGCTTCAGCGAGTTGAGCCCAACTCTGTGATCGTCATGGATAATGCTTCCTACCATAGTCGTCGAGCCGAACGTGTACCGACTATGGGATCTCGAAAAAGTGACATGCAGCAATGGTTGCGCGAAAAAGGAATCCCGTTTGACGATTCATGTGTGAAAGCGGAATTGTATGAAAAAATTAAACAGCACAAACCTGCGAACATTAGTTACGTGACTGATGAGATGGCCCGTCAATGTGGTGTCACTGTGCTGCGGTTACCGCCCTACCACTGTGAACTGAACCCAATAGAGCTCATCTGGGCTCAAGTGAAGAGTTATATTGCGCGCCATAACACAACCTTCAAATTACCAGACGTTAAGGTTTTACTTGAGACTTCCATACAGCTAGTAACGCCCGAAGCTTGGCAGAATGCTATCCATCATGTTGTGAAGGAAGAAACAAAAATGTGGCAGCTTGACCACCACATCGACACCATCATAGAGCCAGTTATAGTCAATTTCAACGAGAAAAGCGATAGCGACAGTTTATTACTGTCAGATGTAAGTGGAAGCGACGATGAATAAAGGTAATTCCCAAATTTTTGACTTACAATATGTTTCAAACCACTCTTTATTAAGCATGTGACAAATCTAGTTCACCCATGTTAAACATTCATACCCCGCCTATGAACAGCCGACTACTGGTAGTTAATAATAATAATAATAATAATAAAGCATTTATTGCCCAACAGTACAGGTACCATTTAGAGAGCAATACATAATACAATGGTTTAATTTAATTTACACAGTCTGTGTGTCATAAAGTAAAACAAAAATAAAAAAAACACACAGAAAAGAGAAAGGCGCTTTAAGTAGAGAAAAAAGAAACTATAAATATGATCAATAGATATTAGGAAGCCAGAATATACTGGTATATACACAAATAGCCATATACACATAAACACACATATGAGTATACACATATACAGGTATACATATATACACATAAATACATACATACAATACATATATATACATATATACATATACAACAAATGAAAACCCCTAGAGAAAGGCGTAAAAAAGTCAAAGATGTGAACGTATAGCACTTCGTAATTCCTGAAATCCACAACAGAAGATATCACAAAAACTCACAATCCTATTCGCATTATTGCACATAAAGTTTATTGGTGCTTTAGATAGAAGATTTGTCTGCGCTCTCTTGCAGTAAAAGGAAACCTTATATTTAGATGTCAATCTAGGTACCAGGAAATTAATTTGCGATAGCAAAACAGGACAGTCGATGTTACCATGCAGTAATTTGTATAAAAATATGATGGACGCCTGCTCTCTGCGCTTTTCCAAAGAAGGGATGCCGAATCTATTCAGTAATTGTGAGTAGTCACATCCTCTTGGAGGATAGACACCATCACTCCTATAGCATAGATATTTTAGAAATTTCTTCTGCACTTTTTCAACATTAGTTTTGTACAGTTTATAGATAGGACTCCAAATAATTGCACCGTATTCTAATTTACTTATAACAAGCACTGAAAATAACTTAATAAGCGTTGTGTTATTGAAATTTCTACAATTTCTGATAATAAAGCCATATTTGCGATACGCATTACTTATAATTTCACTGATGTGGTAGTTAAAAGTGAGCTGACAATCGAAATAGACGCCCAAATCTCTGAAAGTTTCACACCTTACCAATACAGAATCATCTATTTTGTATGGGTAAGTTAAAAATTTGGCTTTCCGGGTGAAGGTCAAAATGCGGCATTTAGAATTATTGTTCAAATACAAATTGTTATTAACACACCATGTTTGTAAAATAACTAGTTGTTGTTGGAGGTTTTCACAATCCTAGTTGAGTGTTAAAGTAGTTAAGTGATGTTCACGTGAACATCGATGAGTCATTACAGTTTTAGATAGTTATAGTATGGTATAAAAACTACCTTGTTCTACTTCAATCGTGAGACGTGCCCCTCCCCCTCGCTCTTCATTTGTCACAAGAGGGGAGAATAGACGTAGGCGTCACTTACGCTCCTTCATTCACAAACTCTTGAGCAAACCTGAATCTTGCAAATAAGTTCATGCCTCGCTCTACAATCCATGCCAGAAACATTAGATACTACTTCCCTACTTACTTCATGTATGGAAAATCGGTAACAACGTTACTTCCAACTTTTCTTCGTACTTTTCTTATTTACATCTCCTTATAAACTGTATGCAAGAAAATAATCCAGCGCTACCTCGAAACTTGAAGTATTTCCACCCGATTTCCTTCCACCTCGTGTAGTGGATAATAACATGAGCGTGATAAGAATTTTAAACTCAATTTGAAGTCAATCATGCCATGCGAGATGAAATAGTGAAGATATGAGACTCCGGTATACATGCAAGATTCTCTACCTCATTTAGTCATAGGAAATCTCAGAGAAAATATTATTTATACTCCTTTTCATACAAAAAGGCCTGTTATATGCAAGATAGCGTATGTATGCTTATATGTTCCGTTTTCACACAAGAACAGCTGATTTCGATGAATTTTAGCACAGATATAGATTAGACGATGTTGGAGGCAGATAGAGGCTACCTTTTATTGTAAAAATGAAACTTTAGGGGTTGGAATAGGGGGTAAAAATAACTGCTATTCTTTATGTTATGGATACAGTAATGGGCTTTTTATATTAAGGTCCTTGATATAATGTAAATGAGCGCTTACAAAAATGTTTTGTCATAATATCATCTTCAAAATGAAAAAAAAAACTTGAATAAAGAATTCCAGAAATTATATTCTTAAGTTGGTGAAGGAAGACGTTCAATATTTCTACAGGAAGCCTTACCACTTTTCAGGTTAAGTTTATAGAAATACAGGTATATGTCGAAAACTATTTGACTTATTACTTACATTATACTTTACGATCAAAGTATGTCAGCTCAAAACGGAATTTAAGACAGGGCTGCATTGAAGCGGGCTAAGAATAGATATATACAGCGTGATTCACAAGTCGTGACCAAAAATGAAGCATAATAGACAGGATCGCATTTTAAGAGGGGTCTTCTATGTAACATTTTTTCCTCGAGGACTTTATTAAAAAGGTAATAAATATAAAAATATTGTTTTCCAATGTCTTTAAAATCGTCGACTGAACTAAAGTTTGGTATGTGGATTAACCTAAGCATTTTCCACACTCAAAGGTCTTCACCTAAAATTAACGTGCAGCAGTGGCAGAGATACAGGATATTAGTGGCATTATTTTTCCAAATAAAAATAGTACGCCACTGTTTTTTTTTTTTGGAAACGCGCAATTTTTCGATCAGTCTGATACAAATAATTACTCTTGTGTTTTCCTAGAGTGCACTGCTTTCGTAAAAATAAAAAACAAACTATATACTCGAAGCTTTATTTCAATAAATATTCAAAACGACCACCATTCTGAACGTATTTCCACAAAATTAGTTGTTGCTTGAACTTAATGAAACGCATTATCTATTCTTTCCTGTAACTGATCAACAGTATTAATTTGTTCAGCACACACTACTTGCTTAAAAGCGCCTCACAAAAAAAAATCCAGAGGGTTCAAATCAGGAGACCTCGCAGGCCAATGTACGGGTCCGTTTCTGCCAATCCATCGTTGTCTAAACTGATTATAAAAACCGTATAACACATAACTTTGACAAACCAAAAAACGTCAAGTTGGTATTTTATTTTGTAAGTAATTGTATCTCGGCTCTCCCTGAATGATCTAATTTGTTTTATCTCTACGTAAACAGTGCACTCTAGTCAACAATTTGACTCAACATTCTTCTAATCACAATCTGAAAATAAACCCAGAAAAATCCAATATATTATTGTTCTGTAATGAAGAAAAAAAAATACTGCGCCATCTCACTTGATGATTTCTATATTTAATTAAGTTATAAAGTCTACTTAGAGCCAATTTCACCATGATTAATATTTGACCGTCAGTTTGGACCAATGGGAAAGACCTTATCGAAATGCAATTAGTCGGAAGCTATCAAAGCTCTCTGAATATCAGTGACTTCTACTGAATTATTGAATAAAATCATGAAGGCAGCAGCGGTGGCCGCAGTAGTAGACTCTTCGGTCTCCTGATCAGTCGCCGTGCGCTATGCGGGTTCGAGTCCCGTCCAGGAGAAATTTTTCTCTTGGCTATGGATGTTGTGATTGTCCGTAGGTGGTAGACGGTCTCTGACTGTCGAACGCGGAAGTACCACCCGGCGGATCTCGTAGGCGGAGCCAGAATGTGTGCATGTTGCATGCACACGTGTTCCCTCGCCAGAGTCCGTGTGGCGTTCCCCCTTTCCCATGTATCCCCTATAGCCCCACGGTACCCAATGGGTTCTTAGGCCTTCGTGGTAGTTGTAGTATAAAAAAAACAAGAGTAATTATCTGTAGAAAATTGAAGGTAACATTTGAAAAAGTGCGCGTACTATTTTTATTTGTAAAAATAATGCCACTAATCCCCTGTATCTCCGCCACTGGTGCACGTGAATTTTTAGTAAAGACTTCTCAATGTGGACAATACTTAGGTAAATCCACATACCAAATTTTAGTTCATTCCAGGTGACGGTTTTGAAGATATTGAAAAAACTGTCTTTTATTTTTAAATTTCAACACCCCGTAGCTTAATAATGCCCCACATGTAGTCATTAAAAAATAAGTTGTCTGGCAGCCCTCGAATCAGTCAATTAACAAAGTATTAACAAAGTTACCGTTGAAATCTGTCAAAGTCGCGATCAGAAAATTCAAGTAAAAACGCAATCATTTTGCACCAAAAATGGCACGTGCTTCGTCAACCAGGTTAAGTACGACCATGTTGAACCAACTCAGGTCTTTCAGTAACGAGTTAGCTTCAAATGAGATACGAAGTCGCCTTGAAGCAGTTCCGACAGAAAGGCTGATGACCGCCGACTATTCTGGAAGTATCCGATACAATGTGTGTATGGATAACAATGCGTCGAAGAAGAAGTTTATTTTTGAGAAAATGCCAGGGATCAGTTTGGGTCAGCAGAATGCTGGGTAAGGTTCCCCTAAATTCAACACATTCTACTAATTTATTTCTAAGTTAATATGGTTTCAAACAACAGCACGTTTTACTTTTCTCTTCGGAAAATAGAGATAAAACGACAATACTGTCAATAATAGACTAGATAAGATGTTTATGATACATTCAAATGAAAAATTCTGTACCTCATTAAAAACTATATTCATCGATTATGTGCTCAAAACTATACAAGATATGTTGATATTTTCAAATTCTAGCTCAGCAGCACTAAAAATATGTGCCTGTAGGATCCGCATGGGTATCATGTTATAAACATTTAAAACGTCCAAAAAAAAAAAAACCTATAAGATGTTATCTTGCAAACTAGCTAGTTTTTAGGGCGCAACAGATCGTTGTGAACGTCCATCTAAGGAGGAATCACTCAACTAAACTACACGCATTATTGGTTGCATATGTTTTGTGAGGCCAAATGGTCTTTGTCTGTAGTTTTTATCTCTGAGAAGAAAGTTGGTTGAATAGCATCTAACGTAGATGATTATGTGTATTGGTTTGCATGTGTATAAAATCAGTGATATTTGCTGAGTGAGAAAATCATTACTAAATATGCTGCCAATGAAGTATATTTATTGGCTGTGCCTGACGGGTTATTTTTATGTTGGGCTTTCTGAAGAGAGGTTATGTTCAAAGTTATCAATTACGGAAAACAGAATTACGGGAAATATCACCGCGCCCGCGTTGTGTGTGATTACTGTTAGCATGTATACGTATATGGCTTGTAATTCGACAGTGTACAGTGGATATAATTATTTCTTATCTCTCTCATTTTTGAAATTCAGCAAATTTGTATATGTAATTTCCAGAATGGATAAGAAAAAGTGGATGCGCAACTAATTCCTAGCTTTGAATCTCAATTAAGTGTATTTGAGACAAAAATCTCATCATCGACACATACAACTCACAGCTTAGACCTTCAGTAACGCCATCTCAGAAGCAGATTTTACATCACATGAGAGCCAAAAATTGATAACAAGCCTCATGACGTTTAGGCAAAACGTAAAACTAAGTGCTACGTTAATACCTTGTAGAAAAACCTACATAATGTCAAAAAAACCAGTAGTGTCAAAAAAAATCGGCTTAATGTCACTTTTCAAGATCCGTGATACCCGTGCAGATTTCTCCACATATATCGAATTTGTCCTTGTAATAACATTTAAATGCCCTCAGAAACAAAATAACCTCAGATTTGGACTCTATGACGGTAAAAACCTACATGACAGCTGACTCGACTTGATTACTCAGCTTTTCTGAAATTGTTCTTGATGTGATCTTGAAATGATCTCCATATGACTTTATAAACACAAACTGACAACTGTTTTAGATCCAACGACCCGAAGGGCATACAGGGTGTAAACGTTATGATAGTCATTATTTAAATGGGTGATAGAGGGAGTTAAAAGAAGCAAAAAGTTTCATATAACATGGGGGTCAAAACGGCATTTTTTTAGAGAATAGCGACTGAAGTAAAATAAAATCTGACAACGCCGCAATGCCAGACGCAAATTACGACAGCACGCAGTGTAAATAAAGATGGAGTTTGTTATTTTTGGCTCCTGGTATTATTTCATTAATTGATAATGTACTCGTAAAATGCAAACAATTAAAAAAAACTGACTTTCCACTAACTGTCTCAGCGCTTCACCGGGTGTATGAAAGTTTATTGAACGTCAAAAATTCCACTTATAAATAGGGAACACAATTGTGATACATACATTGTTTTTCTTCTTAAAACCCACACTGCACTTTTTTGTATTTAAAGAAGGTGTTCAAAATGTTGTCTTCCACTTTCCACCTAAGCTTTATTACGACTAACCCAGTTTCTTCTTACTCTAGGTCCTCGAAGTTGTCCATTTATTATTTCAGCCGCATTAAAATTTTTTTCGCGAAGTTGTGCTTCAGTTGTTATTGGACCATCCCCATAAACCATCCCTTTAAGTTCTCCCTAATACCAAAAATGCATCGGATTGAGGTCAGGCGATGTTACTGGCCATTTTCGAGGATCATTTCGACCGATCCAGCGATTTGGATAATGTTCATTCAAATACTGAATGACGCCTCTAAAAATGTGTGGTGGTACCGCGTCATGAAGAAACCACAAATTCTGTCTCCGTTGTAATGGCATGGTCTGTTCCAAAAGTTCTGATAGGTTATTGGCTAGAAAGCTAAGGTATCCTTCTCCTGACAACTTTGGGGGTAACTCGAAAGGGCCAATTACCTGATCGTCAAGAATACCCGCCCAAATATTCATTTTAAAACGTTGTTGGAAATGGAACGAGGATTTTCTTGGGCACTCGTGTGACTATTATGGAAATTTAATATCCCGTCTCGCGTAAAAGTACATTCGTCCGTCGCTAGAATGTTTTTAAAAAAATCCGGATTTTCAATGTTTTTGTGCAAAAACCACTGACAATGTTAGTCTGCGAGGATAGTCTTCCGGTAACAAGGCCTGCACTCGTTGTACATGGTAGGGATAAAGCAAATTTTCCCGTAGGATTCTATGCACTACGGTATGCGATAGTCTTACGCGGCGGCCTAATTCCCGAGTGCTGATATCTGCATTGATTTCCTGCTCTACAGTAACCTGTCTTTCACGAGTGCGAATATTAGTGGGCTGAACACTTCCTGTATCTCGAAGTCGTTGGTACACTTGCACAAATGTCCTTCTGTCTGGGTGTACCCGTTGGCGTAATCTGTCGCGATAAATTTGAGCTGCAAGATTTGAATTCTGGTGAGCTTCACCGTAAACTAACAACATGTCGGCGAACTCTTGATTCGAGAACATTGTAAAGAAACACGACGACGTATGCGAACAATACCTAACCACTGTTACCGTTTGCGATCGATTGCCGGTTCGATAAGAGTGATGAAAGATCGACGCGCTGTTGTCATGTGTGTTTTAAACATTTAATTTAATGAAACTTACTTACTGACTACAAAATTTGGCTTAACTTAGAAAAACTTAATGCCATTTATTTGTTAATTACCCAATTTAAAAGCGTTTTAGATTAGATTATAAAAATTAGTAAGATTGTGGTGATTGTGGTCGATATAAAGCACTTAAAGTTGTAGACTATAAAGCCATTTAGACAAAAATCTATTGACTTTTGGACCATGGTTCATATGAACTTTTTGACTTGTTTTGACCCTCCATATTACCCATTTCAATAATGACTACCATAACGTTTACGCCCTGTATACCACACAAAGTTAGACCCAAGTATTTTAAACTTAAGTCAAATTAATTCCCGCCGACAATGCGCTTTTGACAATTTTTTCACAAATATTTGAAAATATACGTTAAGGTGTGCCATCTGAGGATGAGGAGTGGTAACTATTGAATGAACAAATCATTAGATCAAAGATCAAAGCAGGATACAAAGTCATGTATAACTACTTACACCGCCCTGACTGTCACTGTCGGTTGAAGCTTATAGGCAAGGAAGATTAGTCTTTGAGCTGCAACGGGTTGAAATTTCTACTATCAACAGCTTAAAACATATTTTTATAGAGTCAAACTGCAAAAAGCAAACAATGATGAAGAATTATGTGTGTCAGTACAAACTTCCGAAGAGAAGGGCTATCGAGCTTTCGACGTATCTACAACTCAAAAGAATGTTATTTTGCCATTGAAGATGTCCAGACTATCCAACCCTTTTCCTGAACCAGTGAAGGATTTTTTGAGTGATGCCCTATCACAACAACTTGGACCAACGAGAAATTGATCGAACTATTGTGTAATGTAAGCATGGTTAGCCTAACTTGTGTAAAATGAAAATCTACAATAGGGTTCACCCTATATCTGGAAAACCTTATGTCAGCTCCAAGATATCGTTAGTTCATTTTTAATATCTTGGAGAGATAGCTAATACTCCAGGATATGATTCCCCAAACAAATTTATGAACAAAAGTTTGTACGAATGTATGTCTACAATGGCTTAAATCTTTAGTATTGTATTATTAAAGAAAAAGTTGGTTCTATTTTACATTTCCTTAAATACTTTATCTATTATTTTTATTTTTGACAAGTTATGAGATAATATACAATGACATGATTAGTATAAAAAAGTTATTCTATTGGCAGTGGCGTCCTTGCAGACATGTCCGGTGATGTTTAAAAAAAAAATTGATAAGCCACTAATATTTGACAAAAGATTTCGCAAGACATGTTTCCAGGGACGCTACTCGCGCAGCGACATAATAACTTTAAATATCATTTTACAACTTCTTATAAGTATGCTAAAATTAAAAACGATATAGTGCTTTCGAGGATGAAAATTAAAAAAAGTTTTTCTTGAAAATTCCACACCATGTAGAAAAAAATTGAGATATTGTGAACATATATACTTTTCTTTATGAGGAGTATTAGCTTATCATTAAGAAGCACCCTGTATTTTTGTGGTCTTTTAAGGCTAACCTTGCATTTTAGAGTATAACTAAATAAATTCAAAAATATTAAATTTCTGAATTCGTGAAACTATGCGATTACTCCCAATAAAATTTTCTGAACGACGTGCACTTCTTCATTAGCAAAACAGGGTACAAAGCAGCTGGAACAGCAACGTCCAAAGACCTGGGTGAATCCAGGGTGGTCCTTGCCACACTCCAGTGTATCAAAATCTGGTTATGAGTTAGCAAAGGATGGAAAGACAAGACCAATATGAGGAGTATTTACTGTATACCACCAGTACTGGTCATGTAACGTTCGTTCAACAGATGTAAGATGTAAATAATCCAGTTATATTGGGAGTTTCACCTCGGAATGAGAGATAATAAGCTGTAAGCTTTATTTTGTCATTCTGAAAGTGGTGCCAAACATCGCATAAAATCTGTTCGCGTTTTGAGATATCAAAAGTCAAAGGTTACAAATATTTGCAAAGATCTCACCTCCAATGGGCTTAAAGCAAGTTGCATTCATTATGAAGATGATTCTCTACAACATTTCCTTCAAACTTTTTTGGATAACGCAATTAAGCTATTTACAACATTGTGCAAGGCCAATCGTTATTCTATATGTTGTATGTGTCGGAAAGAACAATAATTTATTACTATTATTATTAGTTAAATATATGGTAATATAAAATGTATGCTCATAGAAACTTTCAGAACTCAAATGAAGAATTGTACCACCAACAAACTCATATATGTTATGAGACCCCATAATAGCACATATATCGGGTATAGTTTTGCAAAAAATCAGGAGACCACAGGATAATTCTGTGCCTATAAGGGCTGACTGTTTAAAACTGAAAAAGACTCACAAAATCGAAACGAAGAATTGTGCCCAACAAAAAAGTCATATATGTCCTAGAGGTCCTATAATATTACCTATCCACCCTGTAATCCCATGGTTTTTTGCAAAGCTGTACCCTATGAACTTCTTTGAGGCTTTTGTATGAGTTTGTTAGCACAATTCTTTGTTTGGGTTCTGCACTCTTAGATCCTGCATAATAAATTCTTGGAACCGATTACGACAAAATTACCACCAGCTCCAGATGAGTTACTGAATACAATATTTTGCTACTGCGAGAAGGGTTGTGGTTCACGGTATGGATTCAGGCGATTCCCTGGGTTACAATATTCTCTAGCTTGTGTCCAGTTTGCTGGTCAAGTTTGCTTCAATGCATCACCGTATCAAATGATCCCAAACTTGTGAGCCCGAAAAACTGGACGAAGAGGGAACAAACATCATGACCACAAAAATGATTATATTATAGTAGAACCCCGATTATCCGCAATAATGTGGACCCAAGTGTTTTCGGATAATCGAAATTTCGGATAAAACGGAAATAAATATTGAGACTCATAATGATTTTGTTGAAAAAAGTAAATGGGTGTTAAGAGAGTATACACCTATATAAAGTTACGTAAAATATAAACAAGTGGATACAAACATACATACTTATGAGTATTTAGTAATAGAGGAAGTAATTTTTAACTGTACACGTTTTGCATTTTTCCTATTTTTGGCAGCAATATCCCTCCAACGTTTGATAAATAGCACATCACATGCTGTCGCATTTTCTTGTTGGCCTACGTAAGTCAACGCCTTTTGTAGAGCTTCTAATCTCTCAGAATGTGATATTTTGGCAGAGATTTTTGACTCATTGTCACTAGCGTTACTTAAAATTGTCTCATCGCCATTGTTACATACAGTTCTTATTATTTCTGTATCAGTTAATTCTTCCACGAATTTATCACCACTAATCCACTCACCAGCATCTGCTTCGGTAAGATTTTCACACACTGCTATTTTTATGACGAGCTTATGTAATTTTTTTTTATTTAACAGATAGTACCGCATCAACCTCGTAGGGTTATTAGCGGCGTGGACGGCACAATAATCTATGTATTGAAGTACATGTCAATGTCTTTGATAAATTTCACAAGTTTATCGGTTTGATGCAGTAACACTTCACTGATGTCATTAGAAAGGTGGTTGAGACTTCTGGCATTTTGATAAGTAGGGCACTTCATCAGCATGTGAACCACCGTGAGCCGCTGGTTGCACGTTGAACAAACTGGGGCATCGGTTCCTTCGAAGACGTGCTTGTGAGTCCCTAGTGTGTGGCCTATCCGGAGACGTGACATAATTATCTGGTTCCTTCTTCCTGCAGGTAGGGTGAATCGCGTGTTGACATCTGGAGCAATTGCGAGTAGTTTGCTGTGACTGCCATTCCATTTCTGTTGCCAAAGACTGGTTATGTGCACTTCTATTAGTCCTTTCAAATCTTGGTAGGGTGTACGAATCACACTTCTGCTTGAAGGGACTGCCGCTCTTGATGCTTCTTTGTCAGCCTCTTAGCTCATGTAAATGTTCGTTGTTATTTTCATAGTTTGCGCAAGGTTACATTTCTTGCTTAATTATTGTCGACCAAGATTTTTGTAAAGTAGATTTTTTTACTTGGTTCCATGCTTCTGCTATCCAATATGCCACATTCTTGATGTTAATCTCATTTAAGCAATCAACGAGGTTACAAACATTATCAACTTGATCTAAAATTTGCTCTAATAATAAACGTCTGTAATTGCGTTATTAATTTTCTAAAACTTCTTGATCCATTGGCTCAATCAGTAACATTACATTAGGAGGCAAAGGCATCACTCGTATTTCTCCACTTTTAAGTTGCTCCTCACTTGGATGGCTGGGAGCATCGTCTAATATCAAAATACATTTTCTCTGATATCCGCGTTCCTTCAAATATCGTTCTCTCTTGGGAACAAAATGATTGTAAAACCAGTCCTTAAATATAACGGCATTCATCCAGGCATTTTTTGATTTTTATACCACACGGAACAGCATTGGGACGGGCGTGTTAAAATGCTGTTGGTTTAGCTGATTTACCGATTAACAACAAAAGAAGTTTGTGTGTACCAGCAGCATTGCTACAAGCAAGGATAGTCACAAGTTCTTTACTGCGTTCGTAACCAGAAGCTCCAGATTCTTGTTTTGAAGCTAAACTTTTCGCCGGTAACATTTTATAGTTTTTTCCCCTTTCGTCGCAGTTGTAAATATATTCTTCAAATTTTAATGCGGCGGACCTATCGGCAGATTTCTCCGCAAACTTTTACTTCTCTTATACCGTGTCAGCTATACATCTATGCAGCCAACCATCACTGGCTGTAAAGTTATCAGGCGCCTCCATAACTGGCAATTCTTCACGTAAGTTGACTGCCTTTTGCTTTGGAATTGGTCCGGAAATTGGTATTCCATGTTCTCGATTCTGTGTAAGCCACATATATAAAGAATCATCCGCTTTTTGATATTCCCGCTTTTTCATAGTTTTCCGTGACGGCTGCGATGACGTCAGAACACTAGATTTTCAATTTTCTCGCGTTGTTTGTACATTCTGAAACGGTACTCACGCCCACACCCAAATCACTTGCCACGTTTTTAAGCAAATCACCTCTATCCAAACATCTGATTGCCTCAAGTTTCTGATCTATGTTAATAACAACTCGTTTACGTTTACTTCTATGCTGCTCCATCTTAGCGATTATGAACCTGACTGAAACAAACATACACGCACACGTACCAGTGAATTCCGCAAACGCGCTTGGGGAATCACCGGCAGCGAATCTAGTGACGCAAACGCCGAAAGGGGAACTACCGGCGGCCATTTCCGATCATGCGCCGATTTCCCGAACAACTTCGGTTAACACGGATAAATTATTGTATGCGATCTGTGTCGGATAAAGCGGATTTCGGATGGCCGGGGTTCTACAACTGAACATTTCAGAACCGCTGGAAGACGATCATAATAAGAATAAGTAGCAAATCTTATTATTAACGGCTTTGTAAAACCTCCCTATATTTGAATAATTGCAATCGGAATAAATGTGTCAGATAGTATTTCTAAATAAGAATGTAATAAAAACGTTTTTACTCATATTTTTCTACCTATAATGTAATTAATATATACAGGGTGTTTCAGTTTATTGTTGCATAGCTTTAAGATCCGATAGAACTTTTAAAATTAATGCATAAAGTCTATATAAACATGGGTCGAAAAATGCGTGGCAATTTTTTGCTTTTTGAATAAAAAAAATGATTCTTCGCACTGTTCAACATAAAAAAGCTCTCCTGTGAGTTTTCGTTATACTTAGCCGTTTTTGAGATATTTCGATTTTTAAGGTTCGATGCCTTTTTAATTATTTATGATAAAATAACGTTAAAAAGTCAGTATCTCGATAATTTTTAGAAGTAGGCTGTGCCTGCAAATATTTTTGAAATTGAAAGCAGAATAAGGTTAAACGTCAATTAGTTGACAGTTAGTTTTGTTGTCTGTTGAAACCTGAAACGTTTTTTTGCAATTGCGAATGCACGAAATTTAGTTTCTTTTACCTGTTTTTTTTTTTGTAAGTTTTATAAAAATGCCATTTTTATTATCCAATCAAGAGTTAGCGGATATTCATTTTGTGTATGGCTTTGTAAATGGAAACGCAGCAGAAGCAGCCAGAAATTACGCACGAAGATTTCCAAACAGACGACATCCAGTATTTGTAAGAGTGCATCGCCAAATAATTGAAAATGGTTTTGGAAATCTCCAAAGGGATCAAAACATAAATTATCGTCAGCGCAGATTTACCCGTATGATTCTGCGTGAGTTTGATAGAGATCCGACGACAAGTGTTAGGAGAGTTTCTGGTGCCTTGGGAATTTCAGCAAGCCATGTTCAGCGTGTTCTTAGAAATGAACATAGTCGTCCTTACCATTTGCAACCTGTGCAAGGACTACAGCCAGGGGACGGAGAACGAAGAATCACATTTTGTCAGTGGATTCTTGATAGAACTGATAATAATAGGGAGTTTTCAAGTAACGTTTTATGGACCGATGAGTCATGCTTCACTAGACGTGGAGTGGTGAATTTTCATAATCAACATATTTGGTCGCATAAAAATCCGCAGTTCGGGAAACAAATTTTCAGCATGAATTTAGTGTGAACGTGTGGATTGGTATCTACCGTAATCGACTATTTGGACCCTACCTTTTGCCTGCAAGGTTAAATGCTGC